CCGAAAGGACTGCATAACTAGTAACCTGTATGTATGGCTAGGAGAGCATGACTTATGTAAGTGGTATCGTAAGTATCAACTATCAGGACTCTCTTACCCCAGTTGCAGATGCGCCTGAATCTGAGTGCAGACTTCCTGTTGGCGACACCGGAGGCTCAGGTGCTGGAGCAGACACGTGATCTTCATCTGCATCCTTCCTTGAAGCTTCATCCGATACAGAATTGTTGTTACTCGCAGCGGTTTGGCTCGTCTGCTCCTGACCTTGTTCGCCGACAGTTGAAGGCGACTCAGATATTTCCTTGTTTGCTTTGTGCAGTCTCGAGGTCTCAGCGGAGTCATTTGGAGTTTTGCTCAGATCTGTTTCCATGGCAACATTGGAGGTGATTCCCCCTGACGTTGTCAAGGCGACTGTGGGTGAGACCGTCACTGCAGTGACCGTTGTAAGTGTGCTCTGTGTTTTGTCGCATGATGTGTTGGTTGTTGAACATGAGCTAGACTCTGTTGTACAGGTGGTTGTTGATGTGGAGTCTTGACTTGTGGCGGGGTCAAACTGTGATATAAAACAAGTTCAATTAGTATTTGATTTATTCCTTAGCATTCACGGGAAGTTTGGAGAGAGCCAAAGAAGGGTAAGAGTTGCTCGAGGCGCAGCCGAGGGCAAGTCTAGCTTCTCAAGGGCGCTCCAAACTTTCCAAGTGCATCCCCAACTCTATATAACACCGCTAACAGCATGAATTAATTGTTTCATAACTTTGCCAATGGAAATAAATTTCTCTCGCGTAGCGAAACTGACTTTGCTCATGCCACAAGCGTGCAATATTGGATTTTATAAAAGAACTGAGATACTACGCGCGCTAATTGGTCGATAGGTGTGTTTACATGAGAGCATGTAAATACGTTGTGACGTTTTCGATTCGCGTGTATTTACTGTTGAGAAATATTTTATAAGAACAATAGAGTACTTTTTCCGTGTTTTCATAGCCTCATCTAAAAACCCGGGGAAGAAGGGGGCTGGGGGGTTGTGGTGGGGAGACCTCTCGAATTCTCGAGATTTTTGCAAACTCTCGACTGCGTCTCGGGCTTGCATAGCTACGTCTCTTCTAGTTGAATCTGTAGGCAATCCATTGTTACCCTTACAGCAAACGTAATTTATTTTGTGCAGGAGAGTAAGATAAAGGTAACTGCTGTCTCAAGGCTAATGGGTCAACTTCATGGACGGCGCATCTTGAACAGTTAAATTGTTTTCCATAATTCGTGTTTAATCTTCCTTAATCGAACCTATCCTTCCTAATTAGGTTTGTTTAATCTTGTTTGGTGTTTTTCTCCTAAGAATGCTGCTCTTTGTAGTTGAACGCTGTTATTTGACTCTGATGAGTCCCTTGGCAGGGACGAAACATACGTAACGGTATGTCAGGCTAGCCATTGTAAAATTCTCACACTTCTTCCTTCAATTTGAAAGTTATTTTGCACACCGGAACAATACATTCATTCCTTTGTCCCAAGGTTCCATAGCATAAATATACAGTACTAGTACTAAGAGTGCTACTACTACTCGTGGTTGGCATGCAGACTGCAGGAATTTCATCAACATTTTCAACAGGAGGGCAACCGGTTTTCACAGGCAAGCAAAACGTTTTGAACTGAACTTCTTCATAAGGAAAACTTTCCTCCAGATGGTTAAACCGGGCGGGCAAAATTGTTCTCATAGCTGGTCAATTTGCCCGGTGCCCGGCCCTTAATGAAACCCCTGCGATACTACTGTCCAATGCAGATTACCTGCATTTTGACGATCGTAACTCAACATGTAGATCCGTAGTATTCTGTAACGAGTCAGGGATAAACACACAAAGTTGGACCCTGGGAGAAAAATGCTGGGTGCAAACAGTCTTCTAAACTTATTACCTTTTTTAATGATTCCAATATGTTCTCTCTATAGGAAAAAAAATGAAAACAAAAATGTCAAAATATGTTGGTACTAACTGTCTGTTTAGTAATTATTCACACAATAGGCCCTTTGCACAATCCGGTCGCATGGTACGGAATTAATTATGCTGAGACGCAAGTTACACAGTGGGACTTTCAAAACAAAGGAAAGTCGGGCTGGACTGGTACAAGTTCCTTTGTTTTCGAAATCCCACTGTGTAACTTGCGTCCCAGCAAAATTAATTCTGTTCCATGTGACCGGATCGTCACAAGGGGCCTACTCATTAAATAATAATAATAATAATAATAATAATGTGTGGTACTAAATTAATTTTATTTTATCCTAAGCGTGATACTTCGTACATGGACCTTTCGTTTTGCCAAATTTGTGGGGGTACACAACGAGAACTGCATAGGACTCAAGGATGGATAGTCAAAACTGAGAATGATTACAATGTGGTACATTCATGTGGTGCATTCATCTGGCACATACCTTTCTGCACTCAAACGTTTTAGCTTTTCCTCACAAATTGTCATTCCATCGGCCACAACAGCCATCAGGTTATACCTGATATCATGGTATGGTTCACTGTGCAAAGGAAATTTTTAGCAAGTGAATCACTACAGGTCATGTTGTTGAATTGAATTACAGTTGAACCATTGTACAACGACCACCTTGGAGACAGTGGAAAGTGACCGAGAGGTGGCCGTTATGGGGAGGTAGGAGTGTAATATGACACCTGCTCTTTTCGAGGGTACAGCATTTACTTTTAAAAACAAAATGCTTACTTTAGCCTATAAATACGTAACACAATCAAAATATATCAATAATAAAAATAAAAACTAGATAGAAAAAGAGACCAATGGCACGTGGTACGGTGACCTTTCCAATAAAAAGTGTAGTTTCCTATACACCGTTCGTCAGTCGTTGATTAACTGGCCGTTGTCGAGAGGTTATTTTAGCAGTTGGGACGAGTGTTAGTGGCCGTTGCCCTTGTGGAGAGGTGGCTGTTGTTGAGAGGTTAAAATAACAGTGAATGTATGGACTGTCCG